CAGCTGCACTTTCCCATGCCCTGAGCAAGATACTTAGGCAACCATCCAGTTCCAGGCAGCATATGGTTTTTTTCTCCTTCTCCTTCCTCATGGACAAGCTGTCTCGAACAAGCTGTCATGATCTCGCTCCATGACCCTCACATGCGAGCTTCTTCTGACACAACGAGCATGTTACCAAGAGGGATACCAAGTCGACGTAACGCATGCCGGGAAACGCAGGCTACGCTACATCCAGGTACCGGTACCATTCGACATTCATGGCCAGCACAGGCACATGATGCACGCCGCGTTGTCTGGACCTGAGCCACCAAACACCCACTTGCCCCCGCTTGACCTGGCACCCGTCACCTGGCATCCATTTCACGCCGTCTGGTCCCGTCATCATGATGGACAAGCTCCAAATCGACGTCAACGTTCGAACCATCGTAATGCACTACGTAACCCGTACGGCTCCATCGTGTTTCGTAATCCTTCCTCTGTTTTTCTCCTGGCCGCCCCATCAAGGTACCGCATGAACTTCAGGGCGCGTCCTGGCTGGTGTCAATATTGAACGTTCGACATTCTGGCTCTCAAGGCCCTCTGCTTTGCTCCGTGGACCATCATTCGCTCCGTGGACCAGCATTTGCTGCAACAATTCTCGGCCACGAACCCGAGCTCCAGTTTTATGGTGTGATTGACCCTGAACCCACGCCCGCCGCTCACCTCATCCACCACCATGGGTGCGTTGCCCCCACTGCGCGTCGACACAATCAAAGTGCCGAGACGGACTGAGCCACGAAGCTTGTGCCGCCGAACTGAAGATCCGCACGCGTATCGGCCAACTACGCTGACTCGGTGTCTCGTCTACGGACCGACATGCGATCGACGCCGCCGCCGAATCCTGACCGGCTCGACCCTGGCGACCTGTTGCGACAGCATGCTCACAGCACGGCAGGGAAAAGGAAACATGTCCGACTGCGTGTTTCGGGACTTCGGTAGGTATCATCGGTCTAGGTAGAACATTCCGCCCGTACAAGTGACACCTCGATGGCGCGGTATGGCGTATCTACCAACATCACCCATCCGATGTTTCCTGGCAACACAAGGCATTCTGTCCAAAGCGTCGCATAGTCAGCGGCACCGACGGGCGCCATCGCCTTGTCAGGTGTGTCTGCCTGGCTGTTGGGCGATTAAAGGGCTACAACGGACCTGCCGCCGACAACTATGTACCTTTGGTTGGGTATGCGGACTCGCATCACATATCGCTCCGCACTATGACAGCTGCCATTATCGCGATCCCACTGAACGTAAATCGTGTCGACTTGTGCTATGCCAATTAATCTACGTCCACCTTCGCCAAAATTACCATGTTGACGGATTTCACCGGCAGAGGCACGTCATCGGTTTGGGCTTGGCCGAAATTGCGGCCATGACAGGATTTCGTGGGGGCTCGCCTGTAGTTGGCATAATCAAGCGCAGCAACCACTTTCCGTGGGCATCCGTTACCCGTTGGTCCAAGTACACTTGAGAATGAGAGGCGGGGGGGGGGGCAACCAGACGCTGGCTGTTCCATGCTGGTTCGATGCGTCCCCCACTCAGCTTACAGCGCCTGCATCACACTTTCAGGCCGGGACAGAGGGTTGCATTGATGCAATGGCTATGCGGGAGATCCGAATGAGGGTGCGAGCATTGCGTCCATCTGTTGCCGCTGTGGTGGCAGACGACATCGCCGAGCGTGCCAATCCCCCACTCTCTATGCTTCGGCTTGCTGTTTTAGGTCGCTGGCAGCTGCCGGTGAAGCTTTCCTAGCTGTCGTCTTTGAGTTCCTCTCCGGCCAGCTTGAAGGACCAGCACACAACTCACCCCACGCTTGAAACGGCCCACACCATCAGGGTCGTATCCGAGAATATATGGCTGTCTGGGCTGAGCTGTAGGGGCTTGGATGCCATTCCAGTCGCAGGTTGCACCATGTTGCACCATCCAGGTGACTTAAACTCAACACCCTGAGAGGCTCGCAGGACGCGCTGAAGGGTGAGCACGGACAGCCCGCGCTGGACCGTGTGCACATTGCTCCGATGGCCATTGAGGTCGAGGTCGCCCACGATATTCTGAGCCTGGTACTCTTGTGCAGTCTGATAGTGACGCCCACATGTGCGAAGCGACCGGATAGCTTCGGGTTAGGTACCTAGTTCTGGTCCTCAGGGGCACGTTGGTTGCAACGGATCTTGACGGCAGCAGTTCCATGCGGGCCCTGCAAGATAAGAAAATTCTGCAACCGACGAACCATGAAGCCATGCTCATGAACAGCAGGCCAATACGACGCTGGAGAATGTTTCAGAGCCGCTGTCGCCGCCATAGCAATAAGCGCTGTTGTGCGATAAGCTGCACAGTAATCGGATGTATGCCTAGGCACGCAGCAACCGTGGCATATGGAACAACCTCACGCTATCTGAATCACGTCGCTTCTTTACCCCAGTCGACCTGCAATCCTTGGCATTTGAACTTTCACGCGATTCTCTGCAGCGACGCTGTCATCGTCGCTGCCGGGGAGATTCAAGCAGCAAGCCACTGAAGAAACATCAGCTTGAGAGTGCGTCATTGGGTGTCGAGCTTTGCGGCCTCGGTGCGGGCGACTTTGCAATCTACTCATTTCTTATCGTCGAAACGGTCACAAGAGCTCCTCCCTGGGAGCGGGGCACCCATCCTTCGGCGTACGAGGACCCTCGCCCGCTGCCTGCCGCCATCGCACCCGGGTGTTTATCGCGATTGCGGTACGTTTTCACGTCGATCCTTTGAGATCAGCGTCGGTGTATCCCCTACACCCACCGAAACCACTACTGCTGATGATAGAACTGGTCTAGAACACTTGACAGCTGCTGTGAAACAGTCCTCAAGGCCTGCCAAGGCCCTCACGCGTCATATGCCGTATACTCGTCTGATTCAAGGTGCTCCAGTTCTGGTGGGTAGTTTAGCGTGCTCTAAAAGAACAGTGGAGTTGATCGTGAAATCAAAGCAAAAAGATATTGACCACGGCAGGGCTCGAACCTGCAATCTCCTGATAACAACGAATGCGTGACAGCATCGAATCGTAGTCAGACGCCTTGCCATTGGGCCACGCGGCCAATTGCTTGAATACGGATGATTCAACATCAGTACATATTCTACCACTGACTCTACTGTGCACGACACGGCTCTGTTGAGTATTCAACTTTGACTTCAGGATGTCAGGTTGCTGCTATAATCGATTTTGTTAACAAGACAGACGTCAAAGCATGATCCAGAAATGCAATGCAATCTGATGTGCAGACGTCAGATTTCTCTACTCCATTCCAGAGCTGGAGATACCGGCTGTGGCTTCTTAATACTGAGTTCTCTGTAGGATTCCAGTCATCCGGAGGGCATTCATGTGCAAACTTGTTCATCCACGAGGGCAGTCAGGTAAGCTGACCCCCACGGCATCGGAGCATGCAGTGGCTCTGTAGCTACATTGCCAAGAGCTGGCGCAGGTGTGCGCTCACGGTGAACGAGAGTTATTATCGGATCTCCATGCCTACGCAACAAGAGGTCTAGGGCCCGGGCTAGACGGTGTGTTCATCACCAGAGACTCTGAAGCGGTCCTTGAACCACACAAACTTCAGGTAGACCAAAAGACTCCAGCTACCCCAGACTTTGCATCTGCAGGAACCTAGTAAGGCGCCGGGGGGCTTATGGACGGAACCGAGTCCGGCCCAGCTGGTAGCTCATTGCGTGCTTTTCAGGGGAAATTCTGTGATGCGGGAGCAGCGTCACGCGACCCTACCCGGGACTTCCGTCATCGGCCCTTAGAAGCCGTCCATTGGGGCTCACACTGCACGTTTGGGGTGGGTAGGGTGAAAGTTTTCGATTAAGGGCGAACCGGGACCAAGCTACGAACTGATCGTTGACGCCATCCATCCGCCTCGCACACCTCACGATCATGGCGACACACCGCATCGCCAGCACCAATATGACACGCCTCCGGGCAAAGTTCAACAGGGTGCGTGGTGGGGGTGTCCCGAAATGGATTCCCGCAGAAAACGCAGTCAAGATCAAAATGACCACAGTGGGGTGCTTCATCTACCGATACAGATACCCACGCTGAGAGGCGTGACTGAAGACGCGGGAAGAACGAGATCTGATGCCATCCAGGCGACATGATGAGACAGCGTCGGTCGACGTGAGATACTTGTCGCGAAGGCCGGCTCCTGACAGAACACGTCACCGATGGTAGTAGGTCTCGTGTCGAGGACTCGTGCCGCCGTCGCCTTCTAACCACGCCGAATTGGAGTCCCGTGGCAAGCCGTTACTCAGCGACTGTTCACTGCCTGGCGTGGCGGGACTGTACTGCTGGCGCTGCTGCTGGTTCTGCTGCTGATATTGTTGCTGTAAGTGCTGCTGCTGCCCAGGCTGTAGGCCGGGCGAGTGCATCGGGCTGACGCCCGTCGTCGTCGCGCTCCGACGATGGCCTGGTGAGACCTGCACCATGCTGACGTGAGGCACCCACGCGACGTCGGCTTTGGGCAACCCGCTGACTTCGTGCGCTGGCATCGACCTCTGCACGTACTGATGCTGCTGAGACGCCTGCTCGGCAAAGTACCCAGACTGGTACTGCCTCTGCCCAGTATCCGACGGCAGCTCGACGGGTGGCCCGACATATGGCGGAACGGTCTGCGGGCCGAGACAGGACCTGCACGTGGGGCGAGGGGCTCGATGAAAAGGTCGTCGTCTGGGTAGGAGACCACGCCATCTCGGACGTCGGGGCGTGGTAGGGCGCAACCGCCTGCTGGAACTGCGCCTTTCCGCTTCGCCCTGCGGCGCCGAGCGATGCAGCAGCCGCCTGCGAACAGCGCCGCGAGGAGAGCGAGGCCGCCGAGCGCAATGCCGATAATAGCACCCGTCGACAGGGCTGGTCCCGAACCCGCTCCTCCATCGCCGTCGGCGCCGCGCTCAACGTCCCGCGTTGGCGTTCGCGCCGCCACGTCCGCCTTGCGCGTCATGAGCACCGCCAGGTCGCGGTGCCCGAATCCGGACGCCGGCGCCGTCTTGGTGGCACCGCCGGTAGCTGCGCCGCCGATGACGGAGAGGATGTCGGTGGGCACGGCGTACGACGTCTTATTCGGGACAAAGAGCTCCCAGGGGCTGCTGTTGTTGTTCTGGCGGCCGAGGTCGGCATTGTGCGTGCCCCACTGACCCGGCGTGTCGCAGTCCTGCGTCGTGGGAAAGCTGCCGCCGATGATAAGCATCTGGGCGCCACCGGGCGCCATGTTGCACGACAGGGAGTGGTGCGGGAAGTCGCCCGTGTCGGTGGAATTCGGATACATCTTGATCCAGGTGAACGAGGGCATGGACAAGATGTAGAGGTCGTCGAAGCCAGCCCCGGGCTCATCTTCGGGCGGCGGAGCACCGCCATAAAGATATCTTGGGTGACCCTGTCAGCATCGAAGATCAGGAGATTCGAGTGTTTTCATCGAACAGACAGCAGTGTCAAGTCTAGGTTGGCACTCACATGTTATACGAGGACTGATCTTCCGCCCAGGTCACGCCAGCGCAGAAGCGCCTCCTCCTCTCAGGCGTTGTGCCCGTCGTCTCCTGGGTATACCACTTGCTGCTCAGCACGTCGTACAGAAACACCTCGTCCATGGGCTGCGCCGTGGCCGTCCCGTTCTGGTATAGATCCTGCACGCCGCCGAGGTACACCAACATGCCGGCGTCGCCGGCGGGGATGTACACCATGGCGCCCTCGGCGCGCCGGATCGCGTCCGGACCCGTGACGTTGGCCCATTCGTTCGAGTCCATCGAGTACCGGACGAGCCCTGTCGTGGCGACGGGCGGGCCGGCGCCCCAATCGGGAACTGAGGCATTGCTGAGCCAGCCGCCGAAATAGTAGCCTTCGCCGCGGCTCGACACGGCGACGCCGGCGCCATAGCTCGCGCTCTGGATGTCGCGGCTCAGCGGCGGGCCGAGCGCGTCCCATTGGTCGTGGAGGATGTCGTAGGCGAAGAGCTCAAAGTGCGCTGACGGTGCGTCCTGGAGATACTCACCGCCGAAAAGGTAGATCCTCTTGTTCACGTCGTCGCCCCACAGCGCGCCGCCGTGGACGCTCGGGATCGTCGCGTTCTTGCTGAGATTTGCGTGGAGCTGTGGCATGCCCGACTCGGCGACCTCGGTGAGGTCCTGGTAGAGAAGCCATGTGTCTGTTTGGCGTGGTGTCAGTCATGTAAAGAAAAGCTTGACGCCGTGGAACAGCTTTGATAGCAAAGCGCACCGCAGCCGGCGTCTGTGGATGATGGGGGACCAAGGCAAACGTACTCGTGTAATTGCCAGCCACAGGGCTCCAGTTCAGGATGCCTCCGTCAATGAAGAGCTTATTGTCAACAACGGCCGTCTGGTGCCCGAAGCGTCGGCAAAAGTCGCTCACGGGATCCCTCTGCTGCGCAGACGGCTGGACAAAGAGGAGCAGTAGAAACGAGAGGACCAGCGACGACGTCCGGATCGCAGATGCGGCGCAGCGCTGTGAGGACGAGGAGGTGAGAGCATGCCTCTCGGACGGGTTTGTACGAGATGACAGAGATGGAGCGTGCCCTACTGTGGGCAGGCCCAGACGAAGAGTGGACGTGCTCATTGTCATGCCAGAGGAGGGTCCGTCAGGCGGACATTCTTGCTGGGTTTCCCGGCTCTTTTTCCTTTCTTTTGGGACTCGCGCTTGCTCTTTAGACACAGGAACGACTGACGATTTGGTTTTGGGTTTCCGTCTCGTTCGCGTTAGACGTGGTGGATAGATGAGCCAGCCCACTGAGACGAATGTGAAGAGGATGGGAGGGGGAAAAGACGAAACTTGAGACTTCCGGGCTTGGGTGTGGATTGAGCAGAAGGCAGGATTCGTGGCTGCATATGAGGACAGGAGATGGCTTACCGCCAGTGGACGACTCGACGGGAACAGGACTGGTCGTGGAAGGGGGAAATGGTAAGGGATGGGCAGTGAAGTCCGTATCTCGTAGGGCGGCCGACCACGAGACGGGAGGACAGGCAGGCCTAACTTGCTGCACTCGGGGGACCCGCGGAACAAGACCAGACGAGGACCGTACGCGATAGGACCGGGTGACGAGCTGGGCTGGGAAGGTTAGTAGAGGTGCTTCTGCGCCCCCCCCCCCTCTCTTTCGCCGGTTGAGCGCCACGACGCCAAGGAAGCGGCCTCCTTGTCTATCGTTCTGCTGTGCTCAACGACGAGACCGGGGGGGTAGGAGCAATGTGGAGGGTATAGATGGCCCTGTCTAGGGCGCCTTACGCCACGCTGAAACGGACGAACTGCCGGCGGCCATGCGTGGCGGCTTTGGGACACAGGGCCCCCGAGAGGACGGCAGCGAGCTATTGGGGAGGAGGAAATGAGGACGAGAGACCTGTTTCTGTCCCGACAAACCGTCACTTCATGACACGACGATGAGCGGCGGAACGTCCCGCTAACGAAGAATGGTGCGAGGCGAGTGGATAAGGACAGGATTCTGAGGACTCTGGGCACAGCTCTTATCGTGCAATGACGGGAAACCTTTGCTCAATGTACGCAGCAGGCAACCGAAGGGGGAAGGGGGCAGAGCGCCCACGTCGTACAAGTCAGGGTTTGAAGTCTGATTGAAAGGGGCGAGGAGTCCATGCTCGGCGAGCGACATTGAACAGGCGAACGGGGCCCAAGGCCCTGGGGCGGGATACGAAGATTTGGGGCGGGCATCGAGGGGATGCCAATTCACCAGGACCCGACCCGACCAGGCCGTAGGAATCATGTCTGGCGTAGCAAATGAGCCCTATCGCTGCCGGGCTGCTGGCTGGGACCAATCGCGAGGCTCGGCACGGCAGTTCAGCTTGCCGCTGGTGTGGCTTTTCTCCGACAGACTGCATCTGTTCGTGTGAGAAGAGGGTGGGGAGGGGTCGAAGCTTACTCGTTGTCCGTCAGACCTCGCTCGCTGGTTCGCCGTGATGACCTGGCAGGGCTGATGAGAAAACATGCTTGTGATACTGTCCGTGTGACGTCGCTGCCAGGCTTTTCTGCAAGGCCCACGGTGGAGATCGATAGGGCCTGGCTGGGTTGTTCCTGTGAGAGATCTGATCTGCTCTGTGAGATATCGCTGGGACGTGTCGGCAATGATGTGGTCGTGTAGGGAGGGCACAGAAGACGAAGACGAAGAAGAAAAGAAAAGAAAAGGGAGGGAGCCGAGCTATATTGTGATTCATTTCGAGACTTCCTGTTGGCTGAGGTCCCTTCACCATGCATCATCACACATGTACAGCCACGCCGCTCGGCTCGGCTAGGCAGACATACAGAGAGCAGTCCCTGGAGGGTCCATCCGTAGGGCAACCAATGCGATGAGGGGGTATATTGCTCTCTTCTGCTCGTTCACGCGGAGCCGATCTGCTTGAATCATGAACTCGCTGCCTGCGGCTGGCGGCCTGCGGGCGCGTCCTGCTCTATGGAAGAATCAGCAACGGCGGCGTCGCTATCGAGTGCAACCAGAAGCTTCGATGCACTGTCGTCGAATGAAATGCTGCCATCATCGGCCTTGACGAGCACAGCCCTCAGATTCTGCAGCATCAGATCCGGAATCGTAGCCGATGCCCCCTCCCTCGATGCTTGCCAGTAGCCACTGCCAGCACCAATGCTAAGATACCGCGTCAGCGCGCGACCTTGTCGAGCCTCGGCGGCTAGCACAAGCCCTGCGCTGCAGAGATGAGGGCCCAGCTCGACGCCGTCGGCATGAAATCTCGCATGCAGGTTGTTGAGGAAGACGAGCTGGTCCAGTGCATTCGCGGGCGTAAGCAACCCTTCCATCGTCCTCGCCAGCTCCTCCTTTCTCTTGGCGAGGATGGCGACTCCCGTCTCCGTCTGTAAAATTGCTGTGACGAGCCTCTTCCATGACAAGAAACCCGACCACTCAGGTCGCTGCTGAGCGGCATTACCGCTGCTACCGCTGGTCTCAGTACCAAGCTTTGTCGTCTCGTGCGGTTCGATGCGGCTCTCGAGAACGGCTGCGTCAGGTGGCAGCGTCTCGTCGAGCTGCGCCTGGCGGTGAAGCAGCCACTCGAGCAGGCGCTCGCCCTGCGCGGCGCTCGAGGGAATGGCGTTTTGCTTGACGACAATGGCGAGCTCCTCGACCGCCGACGGCCTCTTTCCCGCAGCTGCTGCCGACGCTCTGGCGTCCTCCTTCGCCGGCCGAACGCCCAGCAGAGCACCGGCGAAGAGGTCGAGCTCGCCGACGCGCCACTTGCGCGAGGACCTCGCACCGTGGGCCTCGGCAAAGAGAAAGTTGGCGCGGCGGAACTCGGGGGAGAAGTCGCGGGCTGCCTGCTTGAGGGCGTCACGGGTCGGGTGCGCGGCCCAGGCGGCTTTCTGACGGGCGTCGTCGGCCGCGTCATCGTAGGGGCGGACGTAGCGGCTCTCGTAGGCGTCGAGATCGAGGAGCAGGTTGGAGATGGCGAAGGGGGTCCAGCCCGGGGGAGGCGGCGCCGGCTTGCGGGGTTTGATGGGAGACAGACCGATGCCTTTTGGCGTGTAGTTTGTTGGATAGATGCGTTGGGCACGGCAGGGGGCGGATGTGTGAATGGGAGCCGTTGAGAGGTGAGGGATGGCGGCTGGCGCGGGGGACACGCGGCTGGAGAGGCGGTTCATTGTACCGGGGGGGCAGGCGTGAGCCCAGGATGCCAAGGTGTTCTTATTCGTGATGCAGCATATCAGTTCTCCAGGGGCGGTACAAGTCGGTTCTTATTGAGTTCAGTACAAGTTGAGCAGGGCGAAGATGAGGTGGTTGAAGATAGCAGGCCAGAGGTTAACGCGCGAGACGACACGAGGCAGGTGCATGAGATGAGATGAGAGGTGGCGGTACGAGCCACCTTTGGGGCACGAGCCACCGGATCCACTAACCGGAGCACTAGGAAAGACGAAAACGCGGGGAGACCCGCTGCTGGGCCCGCTGCTGTTTGCCCTGTAAGGTGGGCTATGTATGTACTGGAACTTCCATCGTTGGCAAGGTGCATATTTTGGATATCATCTGGATTTTACTAGAAACGGCCTCTACGCTTTGGATAGGAGTCTCTCATCATAAACTTGAGAAATCTACATCGGACAGCGCTGTGGCTACGTCTTTGCACGATCGTTATCTCAAGTTGAAGCAAGAAACTCGGGATGTAGCTAGTCGCCCCTATACATGCGCTTAAGCGGGGACCCTCATGGCGGAGCCAAACTTCACGCAAAGCCTCTCTGCCCTCTGTCCGTTGCATCATCCTCCCAGATTATCAACTTCACAAACCACGCCAATCTCCTCCCCCCCATCTCGACTACGCTACACCTTCTCAACCAACCCAACCAACCGAGAAACACTTTTCGAGCACGAAACCTCAATCATCACCCGCAGATCCTCACCATGCCACCCGCAAAGAAGAGAAAGACGGCCGCCGCCGCCAAGGCAGAAAAGGCTCTCGACGCCGACGTCCCGACCAAACAGTCCACCACCAACACCACAGACTCCACCGAAGACGAACCCTCACAAGAAGACGTGGCGCCGGCCGAAGCAACCACACAAGCCGGCCCCTCGGCTGCGGCACCACCACCACCACCACCACCCACAGCAGAGGCCGCGGCAGAATCAGACACGCCGGCAGCGACCCCGATCAACCCCGCCTCGAAGGCCGCCGACCGCATGGCGCGGTTCAAGGCGCTACAAGCCCGCGCCAAGTCGTCCTCGGACTCGAACCTAAAGGAGGCGACGCTCGAGTCGCAGCGCCTCGCCGCCGACCCGTCGCAGCTGACGGCCATCCACCGGCGCCAGGCCATCGCCTCGCACAAGCTCCTGCGCGCCGACGTCGAGGACGCGGGCGGCGACTTTGAGCGCAAGCGCGCCTGGGACTGGACGATCGACGAGTCGGAAAAGTGGGACAAGCGCGTCAAGAAGAAGGACGCGGCGCGCGAACAACAACGCCTTCTTCCGACTACCGCGCCGCCAGCAACAAGGTCTACAAGCGCCAGGTCAAGAACATGGCGCCCGACCTCGACCGGTACGAGC